ATTAAGGGATCACAACTCACCAATCACAAACCTTAATTTATCTCATAAAAACTCACATAATCTCCCCATACACCGGAACATCCAGTCCCGTATGGGGCATGTCCGCATGCCAGAAATAATCCTACGATACGTGGGACCTCATCATCATGTCTCACTGTCTGCTTTGGGCCTGGCTACATTCTCACCAGCCATCTAACTGTCCGCTATGGGCCTGGCTACATTCTCACCAGTCCGCACACAATCATATCGCCCCTCATACGTCGGGATGCACCCGGCCATGTATGAGGTCTGTCAATACGCCGACTACTCCCACGACACGTGCGACCTCACAAGTATCACAATAACTCCCCATACGACGGGACGTACCCGGCCACGTATGGGGTCTGTCAACACGCCGGCTACTCCTACGACACGTGCAACCTCAACTTTGGGCATGGCTACATTCTCACCAGCCCGCACACAATCATATCTCCCCTTATACGTCGGGATGCACCCGGGCATGTATGAGGTCTGTCAACACGCCGGCTACTCCTACAACACGTGTGACCTCACAACACAATCACAATCACTCCACATACGACGGGACACACCCGGCCTCGTATGGGGTCTGTCAACACGCCAGCTACTCCTACGACACGTGCAACCTCACAACACACATAGGGTGGTACTTACAGTATCATCAATATCCTGGGGGTACCTAGAGTAGTGCGTATAGCACTCCAAACTGACATTCTAACTGTTTTTATACTTTTATATCCCCACATAAAATATATATATATATAATAATTTTCTAATACTGTAAACATCTCAACCAATAAAGCATATGATAAACCTCCCCAATTTATCACCATAAATTGATATCCTAAACCCACATAACCAAAACATGTAATCAAGGCCTGTCACTACGGCCATTTTAATATTCCTAGGAAGGTAACACTACCTAGGAAGTCTCACGGTCAACCCAGGTTAAACTACCCAACCTTGGTCAACCGGGCCCGCGGGGCCCACAACCTCCAAATTTCAATATGACAGTCCCTATAGGTTCTACAAGGTCTAGGACACACGTCCTGCAATTTTGGCCCAGATCGGACGGTCGGATCGCTCACAATCGCATGATCGCACGGTTACTAAAATCCTAACCCTAGGGTTGGCATGTTCGGAGTATCCAGGACTCCGTTTTATGATCCGTCGAATCCTACACGATCCTAAGGATGTCCAAATTAATCTATAATAAATCAAGACCATCCAAAGGTCCAAACCTAGCGAACCCGGATAATGCGCGATATGCGATATCCCATCGGGACTCTACCGATATCCAAATTGAGATCCGCAAAATCCTACGTGCTCGTAAGAACAAGGAGATCATTTTAGAACCTCGAGCCGGTCCATTTTCCTAGCCCACGTGCTGCCACACGCGCCGGCAGCGCATGGGTGCCTTGAGTAATTTCCGGCTGCCGGAAAACTCCAAACCGCCGGCCAAGCTTCCTATCCTAGATGTAAAACCCTATTCTGAGCCACTTTTGTTCTTGGACATACCCCGAAAAATGGCCGGAAGTGGCTGGAAATGCGATCCAACAACCGAACGAACCCTAATTCGAAAATCAGACAATCTACCCTCAAAATTGTGACAATCCTACTCGACCAACCGCTAGAGCTCGAGGAGTAGATAGATTTCCATACCTGGATTGCCAAAAATGGCGGCCAGACGACGGAGAACGAGCAGCTGGAATTTTCAAGAGGTCATAAGACACATTGGGAAGCTTGCCCTTGTCCAGAGACACAACCCAGATAAATGTGGAGTAGCCAATAGCAGAAATGGCACCAACAAGAGACACTCCATCCAATGAAGTTCAAGTTGGGCAGCTGAGAAAGAATCGAAGCTACGACTGTAAACAACAAGTACCACTCTGCTGGTGTTAGGGACTTTAGAGCAACTCCAGCAGCATGACCAAGCCTCGGGCTAGGGGGAAAATGACAAAATCTGTTTGAGCAACTCCAGCGGCATGACCAAGCCTCGGGCTGGGGGAAAAAAATGTCAAAATCTGTTTCCAGCGAGGAGCCCAAGTCCGGGCTGAGAGTGGGACCCACGAAGATGGGCTGGCTAGAAGGCCAATTTCGCCCGAGCTTGAGCCCGAGTTTTGGGCTGATGTCATTGCTGACGCCAGGCTGACATCAGCCCACTCAATTGATTTTTTTTTTCTGTTGCCACGTGGCGTCGTCTGGGCTCTCCAATCGAATTTTTTCCTCCAATCCAACGGCATCCAATTTTTTTGCAATAAAATACTAAAAAAAAATTAAAAAATACCCAAAAATTAATGAAATTTTTTCTATAAATACCAGCCAATTTTTTTTTTTTTTTTTAAATTTATCTGAAATTTGAAACTGAAAATTTTATCCGATTATGAGATATGAATAGTATTGACACGTAAGAACCCGAAAATCTTATCCAAATTAATTATGATGAAAACTTGAAAGAACTCAATGGATTCCATATCTGTTTCTCTGAATGCACCAGGGGCTATAATTAAAGCAAATCTGATATTTGAGACGAAAAATTGAAGAAGAAAGATAATCTGATGGGTTTAATTAAGCAGTTTAGAACGAAAGAGAATAGAAAGTAGTTGCTTTACAAAACAATTGCTACTAGTTCGGACTTCACTATATGCACACAAAGTTGAAAAAAAGTAGAGAAGAAATAGCCCAAGCACTTTCCGCGAAGAAACTTTTTCATTCATCACGCAGGCATTCAAACAAAACAAAATGGTATATATAAATTACAATATCCGAGACGTGGCAGACAAGCCACAGTGGACGCATGAAAATATAAATTAAAGTATTACTTGCATTAAAAAATTAAATTAAAAAAAATGGACGCATGCGTTAAATGTAACTACCAAAGTAGTCGAGATCAGGTCCACAATGGTGGCCTCCCCTTTCCCTCGTTTGACACCCAGGTCTGAAATCCTAAGAGTTTCTTTCCTCCCAATGTAACAAAAAAAGTTATACTAAAGTAACCCTGTCACTTCCATTATTTACAAAATTGCCATCTAAAAACTCCCTGACGATCTATAATCGAATAGAAATAATTGAAGCTATAATTAAAGCAAAATCTGATATTGTAGATGAATGGGGTTCGCCTTGAAGAAGAAAACGAATCTGATATTGATAATTAAGTTGCCGCCGGGATCCTGTTAGGCGAGAGAGAGAGAGAGCTACAAAGGTTTGTTGCCCTGCTTGTTTAGAATGAAAGAGAATAAAAAGCAGTTGCTTGCAGAGGCAGGACAATCCAGGAAAATCTAAATCATAAGAGAGATAAAAAATAAACAAAAAATGAAAAAAAAGGGTAGAAGTGAAATAATTACCCAACACTTTCGGCTGGCAAAGCTACTGGGAGACACAATTTTTTTTTTTTTTTGGGAGTACAAGATATTGGGAGAGTGGGATTTACACAAATATTCATTGGGTGTTTGAGATTACACAAATCTTTTGATACTATGGCCCTTTGAAAAACTAATGGTTGAAAAACGTAAATAATTTGACCTGAAAAAAAAAAACATAAATAGAATTTCAATGGTAGTTAGAAAGAAAAGTCTTCATCATAAATAGAACTTCAGTGGTAGTCTTCAACGTATACAGATAAAAGGAAAGTTTAAAAATTTGGAGTCAGGGTGTTATATTAGAAACACACCCAAAGCCCATTTACAACATAACAAAAAGGCTTTTAACTTCTTTTAGAACCAGGAGATCATTTTAGAACCTCAAGCCGGTCCATTTTCCTAGCCCACGCACTGCCACACGCGTTGGCAGCGCGTGGGTCCCTTGAGTAATTTTCGACTGTCGGAAAACTCCAAACCGCCGGCCAAGCTTCCTATCCTAGATGTAAAACCCTATTCTGAGCCACTTTTGTTCTTGGACATACCTCGAAAAATGGCCGGAAGTGGTTGGAAATGCGATCCAACAACCGACCGAACCCTAATTCGAAAATCAGACAATCTACCCTCAAAATCGTGACAATCCTACTCAACCAACAGCTAGAGCTCGAGGAGTAGATAGATTTCCATACCTGGATTGCCAAAAATGGCGGCCAGACGACGGAGAACAAGCGGCTGGAATTTTCGTCTCCATCGGGCAGGTTTTCTGCAAAATCCGACGACGTCGCTGCTGTCTAGCGTCGGAGAATAGGTGGGGAAGGACGGCGAAGTCAAGCCGGTCATTTTGGGACCGGTCCCGGCCCAGGTGGTGGCCGGAGGTGGCGGTGGCAGCCGGCGGAGCTTGTGGCTGCTACAGTAACCGGGGGGGATTTCGCGACAAGGAGGGAGAGAGAGACACGCGAGGGAGAGAGAGAGAGGAGGGGGAGAGAGGGGGAGAGAGAGAGAGAGAGAGAGAGATCTAAGGGCATTTCTGACTTTTTATCAAAAATCCCTTTTCCAAATAATTATGATTATGCCACTGAGTTTCATTCTATCGTAACTCTCTCGTTACAACTCCGATTCGAGCCCAGTTCGTGTCTACGGACTCATCTCACTGTGCTCTACGCAACGTACAACCGGAATTCCCAAATTCCTTCCGGATAAGAAATGACCAAATGACCCCTATTCCGAGGGAAATTCGTAATTCCACTCAAATTAATTAAAACATGGGATAAATTTGGAGTCGGGGTGTTATATTAGAAACACACCCAAAGCCCATTTACAACATAACAAAAAGGCTTTTAACTTCTTTTAAATTACAAAACTGTCATTGATTTCTTAAAACAAATCCAATCCAAAAACCTCATAAAAAAACCTAAAATACTCAATGGGGCATCAAAGTAATTTAATAATTAAAATTAAATTCAATAGGGCTAGTTGTCATTTTTTGGGTTTGTTTATAGAAATTAAATGGTACAGGATTTTTTTTATAATTTTAATACTAAAAATGGGTATATGACTAAATATCTCTAAAAAATTATATATAAAAAATATATAAAAAAAGGAAAGAGAATAGGAAGCTGTTGCTTTACAAAACGATCCAGGAAAAAGACAAGTGAAATAATTAGGCAAGCACTGTCGGTGGACAAAACTTCAAGCATTCATACACTGAAGAAAGGAAAGAGCACTGTCGCTTTACGTACAAACTTTTGCTTTTGAAGATAAAACAGCACAAACGATCCAGGAAAAGGCCAATAAGTCAGAAAATAAGAAAAAGGCCAATAAGCCTAGTAAACAGTTTCTAGTTGTTGAAGGCCAATAAGCCTAGTCCTCTAGAAAGCCTTGTACTCACCTATTGTTCTTTAACCCAACAAATTTGGTCAAAACATCTTGAACAACTTCCTCAAGAAAATCGGCCTCTGTCCTCCTGGCAAATATCATTATGAAAGACAAACAATAGTAAGTATGTGAATCAAATTATCACAAAAAGAAATTGACGCAAGTTAGAGATATAGTATACCCTGTTTTGCTTGAATAATGAAACCCAGACATAGTGGCTGCTTCCTCCACAGCAGAACTCCAGTTGACCACCTTCCTACCCTCGAAACGTTTTTCAAGTTCATCAAATGCAAGTGCATAAGTTCCCTGTTGTTTTCGTACATGTGATGGATCTATGTCGTAAAAAATGGGGATAACAATTTTTCCATAGCTATTCTTGCATTCTAGTATATGCACAAGTTCTTCCAAACACCATGTGGAAGAAGCATAGTTTTCTGAGAAAATGATTACTGCAATTTTTGATTTCTTGATAGCTTTTTTAAGGGAACGTCCAATGTCGTCTCCTTTCTTCAGTCTGTAACCCATGTAGGCCTCAATTTTCTTCTCAAGTAAGGCCGCGTGAAGATGGCCGGTAAAAGCATTGCGTGTGTCCTTACCTCTGAAACTAATAAACACATCAGTATCTGCAGCAGCAACAGAAGAAGAAGAAGCCGTTAAAGATCTGAAGCACATGAACTATAATTAATAGCCTTATATATGTTTGTGCGTATTTAGTTATAGAAGAACGAGAATCTGATATTGGAGATTGATGAGGATCTAATTAAGCAAGAGAGAGAGCTAGAAATAAGTTGCCAACATTGCACCTGAGCCCAGTGCTGTATGAGAAAAATCATTGAATTCAACATTGCAAGGCATCGCCGGAAGAGATTTGAGATTCTGGCACCCAGCAAGTCGAAGATAAGTAAGCTTGTGAAGATGTTGAAAATACGTAGGAATTTCAATCAAACGTTTACAGCCAACAAGATCTATACGCTCAATTTTTAGACTCCGAGAGAGATTTGGAACTTCAGAGAGATGTTCGCAGTAACCAAGATCGATCTCTTTTAAGTTCACAGGACACTGTAACAAATTAAAAGAAATGGAAAGAATTAATAACTTAATTTGAACAGATAAAAAAAAGGGGGAATTAATAACTTAGCTTGCATATTATTACTTTCTAGATCACATATTATTCAAAAAATAAAATAATCATATATAATATACCTGGCCTTCATTCCAAAGTTGCGCCCCAACTTCGCTGAACGGCATATGAAGCACAAGAAGATTTTCAGGAGAAAATTTTGATGGCAAAGATTTCAAAGGATATCCCACCCAGTCAAGATAACTAAGAGAATTGGGAAGATCAAGAGAAAAAATTTCGAATATGCCACGGCCGAAATCGTAAGTTTCTGCAATTAGCAATCTTAATTTATATATCTTTCTGTAGTCTGCATGATTCAACTTTAGCTCTTCAAAGAATATGGCTTGAACCCTTGCAGCTTCCTGACAATCAAGAGCAAAGTACAAATGTGAAAATAATTTTTTTAATCAAAACTGCATTCCGAGGAATCTGACTAGTCTATTGTAAATGTGAATATATGATAAAATACCTTGTTATTTGTTAATACATCATAGACATCCTCAGCACTGAACAACCTACTGCGTTGTTCAATACATTGTTCGCGAACAATTGCCCTACCCATTTCTTGCAGCAAATCATGCATCTCTATGGAGTTCCTTTCTGAAATAGATATGAGAGACATATCAATGAGAACTTTAATTCCGGATGACCATGAGAAACCACGGATATCTAACATTCCATTGACATTATTCATATTCCTGTCTTTATGAAAACATGCTATATCAAGAAATATCTCCTTCTCATTTTCTTCTAATCCATCGTAACTTATTCTCAAAACTCCCAAGATTTTTGGGTTTGGAGATCGTTTCAATTTGTTCATTTCATCTTCCCACTCTCGTTTGCTCTTGTAACGATGGAATGAGGACCCCAAAACTTTAAGAGCTAATGGAATACCCTTAATATATTCTACCACCTCTCTTGACAACTCAGTATAATCTGTTGTTGGAGACTCAATATTTCTGAAAGCATGCAAATGAAAGAGCTGAAGAGCTTCATCCAAACGCAATCCCTTAACCTTGTATATCTTATCAGTGTCAACTTTTTGCTCAAGTACTCCTTTATCTCTAGCAGTTATAATGATTCGACTTCCGTCACAAAACTGATCATGATATCCAACAAGAAATTCTAGTTGGCGTGGATCATTCACATCATCAATAACAATGAAGGCCTTCGTGCGGCTGAGCCTATCTCGAATAAAAGTTCGTCCTATAGACGAAGTGCCGATGTTTGTATCTCTGTCCTTTAATATCTCACGAAGGAGTTCATTTCGCAACTCATTTAATCCACCCGTTTGTTCTGATTTCTCCCTGACATTTGCAAGAAAACAAGCAGCATCAAATTTAGAGGACAGCTTGTGAAATACAGCATCAGCAAGGGTGGTCTTGCCAATACCACCCATGCCCCAAATACCTACAGAGAGTACACCTGGTGAATCCAAGCATAATAATGACTCAATTTCCTCAATTTTCCTTTGAATCCCAACCAGACCCTTTAAATCACTTGACGATTCGCGATTCAATTTGGTCAAAACATCTTGGACAATTTCCTCAACAAAATCGGCCTCCGTCCTGGCAAATATCATTATCAAAGACGAACAATAGTAAGTATGCATCGAATGATAACAAGTAGAAATTGATACAAGCTAGAGATTTAGTATACCCTGTTTTGCTTGAATCATGAAACCCAGAAATATTGGCTGCTTCCTCCAAAGCAGCCCTCCAGTTGGCCACCTCATCCATACTGACCTTAAAACGTTTCTTAAGTCTCCAAAGCCACCCTCCAATTGCATAAGTTCCCTTTTGTTTTCGTACATCTGATGGATCTATGGGATAAAAAATGGGTATAACAATCTGTCCATGGCTTTTCTTGCATCCAAGTATATGCACAAGTTCTTTCATACACCAAGTGGAAGAAGCATAGTCTTTTGAGAAAATGACTAGTGCAATTTTCGATTTACCGATTGCTTCTAGAAGGGCAGGCCCAATGTCGTCTCCTTTCTCCAGTCTGTAATCCATGTAGGTCTCAATTTTCTTCCCAAGTAAAGCCTTGTGAAGATGGCTGGCAAAAGCATCGCGTGTGTCCTCACCTCTGAAGCTAATAAACAGATCGTACTTTTCTCGAAGAGGGGGGATATCAGTATCAACAGAAGAAGCGGAAGAAGAAGAAGATGTTAATGATCTGAAGTAGATGTAGAACAGAGTCATGATGAGTATGATGATTATGATGAAAACTTGAAAGAACTCAATGGATTCCATATCTGTTTCTCTGAATGCACCAGGGGCTATAATTAAAGCAAATCTGATATTTGAGATGAAAAATTGAAGAAGAAAGATAATCTGATGGGTTTAATTGCTAAACAATTGCTAATAGTTTAGAACGAAAGAGAATAGAAAGTAGTTGCTTTACAAAACAATTGCTAATAGTTCAGACTTGACTATATGCACACAAAGTTGAAAAAAGTAGAGAAGAAATAGCCCAAGCACTTTCCGCGAAGAAACTTTTTCATGCATCACGCAGGCATTCAAACAAAACAAAATGTCCGAGACGTGGCAGACAAACCACAGTGGCAGACAAGCCACAGTAGACGCATGAAAATATAAATTAAAGTAAAATATTACTTGCATTAAAAAAAATGGACGCATGGGTTAAATGTAACTCTCAAAGTAGTCGAGATCAGGTCCACAATGGTGGCCTCCCCTTTCCCTTGTTTGACACCCAGGTCCGAAATCCTAAGAGTTTCTTTCCTCCCAATGTAACAAAAAAAGTTATACTAAAGTAACCCTGTCACTTCCATTATTTACAAAATTGCCATCTAAAAACTCCCTGACGATCTATAATCGAATAGAAATAATTGAAGCTATAATTAAAGCAAATCTGATATTTGAGATGAATGGGGTTCTCCTTGAAGAAGAAAACGAATCTGATATTGATAATTAAGTTGCCCCCGCGATCCTGTTAGGCGACAGAGAGAGAGAGCTACAAAGGTTTGTTGCCCTGCTTGTTTAGAATGAAAGAGAATAAAAAGCAGTTGCTTGCAGAGGCAGGACAATCCAAGAAAATCTAAATCATAAGAGAGATACAAAAAATAAACAAAAAATGAAAAAAAGGGTAGAAGTGAAATAATTACCCAACACTTTCGGCTGCCAAAGCTATTGGGAGACACAATTTTTTTTTTTTTTTCTTTTTGGAGTACAAGATATTGGGAGAGTGGGATTTACACAAATATTCATTGGGTGTTTGAGTTTACACAAATCTTTTGATACTATGGCCCTTTGAAAAACTAATGGTTGAAAAACGTAAATAATTTGACCTGAAAAAAAAAAACATAAATAGAATTTCAATGGTAGTTAGAAAGAAAAGTCTTCATCATAAATAGAACTTCAGTGGTAGTCTTCAACGTATACAGATAAAAGGAAAGTTTAAAAATTGGACGCATTGATAGACATGAGCTTAGTCTAATTGGCTAAAACTGATATGTTCCTCACTCATCAGCAGAATTCGAATCCCTATCCAAGTATTTAGATCAGATTTTATTAAAATATCGCTTGAATAAAAAATTAATTTTTTTTTATAAAAAAACTAGACGTATGTATTAAATGTAATGACCACGTCATATTAAAGTAATTATGTCAGTTCCATTATTTACAAAATTGTCATTTTCTTTGGTGATCATCCTAAGAAATTTCACTAATAAAGATAGATTACAACTTTGATTTACCAATGAAACCCCCTTAGAACACTACCCTCACAATTTGTTTCTCTCACACCCTTTACTCAATATTTTGACACACTTACTCTCTCACACTTATGTCGCACTCATTTTGCACTTACGATGTGTTTACTAACCAAGCATTGGAATTCTCATCAGGAATTGAATTCCACTTATGGAGAATTCTTGTGTTTACTTCACATGAAGGAATTGAAAAGTAAGTGGAGCCCACACAAAATTAGGAATTGAATTTCTGATTTTAGAGGAATTCAATTCTTGGGTGGGAGGTGATATTCTAATTCTTGGAGAATTAACCCATTAGGAATTCATCTTTTTTACCCATTATATCCTCACACAATTTTCAAAATTCCAAATATGTCATCTACTTTAACCCAACTACGAGGATATTTTAGTAATTAGAACTACTCCTATCCCAATTCCATATGGTTTAGTAAACAATTTCAATAAGAATCCGGAATCTAACTTCCTTCAATCCATATGGTTTAGTAAACAACTTTATTAGGAATCCATAATCTAATTCTCCTCAATCCAATTCATCCTCAATTCAATTCCTCCTAATCCAATTACGGATTAGTAAACATATCATTAAGCTCTTATTGCTCCCTTTGCATCTGCTCCTCACAAAAGATGTTTCACTTAAATTGCTCCACACACCATAGAAACCTAAACTCATTGAATTATTTTTTGTTTATACAAATGATAGTCTATAAAATTATAAATTAATCCTACCTTCCACCAAACGCAACAAGATGATCATGTTGTTGTATTTGTCAACAACAAAAATGTTGTTGTTCTAGGGTATGATGCATTTATGTGACTATTAACATTGAAGTTTCCAATATATATATGTTGGTCATGTGGAGGCGACACACCTTCTTGTGCCGGTATCTGCAAATGAGAAAATATATTAGTGTTGTCACAATTAAATGTTCTTTTATCAGATATCTAACATATTATATATTATCAAAATATTAATTCATACTACGTTCAAACATTCAAATAATTGTCCGAATTAATAATCTTGCAATATAACATTGGTTTTGGATATGGTATAGCTTTTGACCGTATGCCCAATGCGTAGGAGATTTGGACACCCCTCCACATAGGCACGCGTGATGGATGTTTTTCACTGGACGGCATTGTGGCCTGTAATTAAGGAAAAACCTCAATTAGTGGAAAATATACAAAATTAGTCAGAAGCTTTGTATTGAAGTTGCTTTCTATTGTAGTTGCCGCTTCAACATCATTAGTCAACATATCATATATTATCATCAGCAAAGACAACTATATTCAACACAAGTTGAAGTTTCATCTGTCACATGGGTACACTAATTAACAAGATTTGGACGAAAAGAAATTAAAAATATCCACTTGTTTGACATTAAGGTCAATATATGGTAATTTTCTAATAAATTGAATCAAGGGAATAAGACGCTATGAACTTCAATATTTTGTCTTCACTCTCTCAATTTTTTATATATATAACTTTTATTCAATTTGAATTTGGATCTATGTGTGACTAGACCAAATTATAATCAACAAATCCTGTTTTTCATTAAAAAAAAAAAACAGAGAGTCGAGTTCTAAAATGGATGTATTGTTGTCGGCTTTCAAGGGGTCATAAGACACATTGGGAAGCTTGCCCTTGACCAGAGACACAACCCAGATCAATGTGGAGTAGCCAATAGCGGAAATGGCACCAACAAGAGACACTCCATGCAATGGAGTTCTAGTGGGGCAGCTGAGCAAGGGCGGAACCATGAATTTTTCAATGGGTGGGCTAATTAAAGTTGTTTAGCTTAAAATCTAAGGACCAATTTTTGTTTGGATACTTACTGTTTCTATAGTTTTTCTAGAAATATATTAAAGTACATATTGGGATAAAATAGTAAAAGGTTGAGAGTTAAAATCATGAGTGTTTATTAAGAGATTATTTTATTAATTGAGCAAACAAATTAAATATGATTATATGCCTACAAAAATTGAGTAGACAATGGGTTACAAAAACTACATTTGAGTGGGCTACTAAGTGTTTATGGGATAAATAACATTAAAATATATGTAATATATTTTAATTTTATAAAAAGGCTACCTGGGCTAGAGCCCATGGTAGCCCTCTGCCTAGTTCCGCCCATGCAGCTGAGAAAGAATCGAAGCTACGACTGTAAACACCAAGTACCACTCTGCTGGTATTAGGGACTTTACAGTGCATGTTGGTCCACACACAATTTGGAAGAACATCTTTGCTGTTGACCCTCAAAGGACGATCAGAGCCACACACGTGCTGCCTGATAGGCACAGGATTGGGAACAAGGCTAAGAACTGTGCTAGCTTCTCAACTGAGCAAATTGAAGAAAAAGATTGCATGGTGTTTAGGGGTGGTAGAAATCCACCCGGGCACGAGAATTGGTCGGGCTAGAGCTGAAGGAACAGCTGGGTAGGTTTGGAAACAGCTGGGTAGATTTGGAAATAGCTGGGCAGCTGTTGGAACAGGAGCTTGCAAGGTGTAGCCGGGCTAGGAGTTTAAAATCTGGCCTGGGCTTTGAAGTTTGGAGGCCGTAGCAATCCGGGCTTCTCAAATTTGTGGCCGGATGAAGTGAGGAGGTTTGGAGAGCGATCGAAAGTGAGGCGGGCGACCAAGTTTTTGGAATGGAGGAAGAAAGTTGCGGCCGAGTGTTGTTTTGGAAAAATAGGGCTGCTGTGTTGTTAATTAGATAAAAGTGTGGCTGGGGCCCTTTGGTGGTTTGCAAACTGGGCACAAGTCAAAAGTGAATGCGGCCGAGTTGTTTTTGAAATGATAAATGCGGCCGAGCTTTTTGGAGGTTGAGGTCTTTGAGAACTCTACAAATCGGCCAAGAGTTTTTAGGATTAAAACTGACTGTTTCAATATATATTTAAATATATATGGATTGGTAAGCATGCGGCCGAATCTTGAAGGAGTAGCGGCCGACTTATGTTGTTTGGCCGGTTAGAATTATTGCCACCGAAGTCTGTAGGGTCTGAAAGTTAAAGTTATATATATATATATATGTATATTACACACGTGGGCCTTTTTGTTATTGAGGTCAACAAACATGAATTGCTATATGCATGTTTCTATATGTAGTGGATGGGCCAGCAGCTTGGATTTATAATTTGTATATACATATATATATACATATATTTATGTATATATATATAAATGAAAATAAAGTTTGAATTAAGCTCCTTGGCTGACTAATGTTAGAGCTTTAGAAATTCAAAGATCATGAAGGGCACCCTCATGTTATGCCAAGAGATCAAAAGTCTTAGCCCAAGTTCTAAGCCATCAATTTCAAGCCCAGATTTTCGGAAGATTATGTGCACGTGACGGAGGGCCTCACAAGGAAAGAAATCCGAGTGTTCCAAAACAAGGAAGAATCAAGCATGTCAGAATATCTCCTTCAATACAATCTCACGGATTTAGGGGGGCTTCGAAAGGAAAGAATTTTAAGAAGGGTTGACCTTTGGCCATTCAATGGCCAACCCATGGGCTGACGAGTGCCCTATATAAACCTTGCTCCATGAAGACATCGGAGACACAACATCAGACAGACAAACCTATCTTTCGTCTTACACTTTTCTTTTCCTAGACT